ACGGCCAAGATGGCACGGACGAGCCTCAGCTCACCAAAGAGCTGCTTCAGGGCATGTTGGAAAGTTCTTACCACTCTGCAATCGTCCATAGGAGACCTCAGAAAAGACCTCCACAAATTGGGCACGAGAACATCTGCAATGGAGGACAAAATGGCGGATCATGCCGAAGCTCACAACACGAAGCAACTGCACGTATGGACACATATAAAACTAAGCTCGCTGACATGGAGGATAGAGCCAGGCGTAACAACCTGAGGCTCAGGGGAGTGACAGAGACAGTTGGTGTAGCTGACCTTCCAACATACTTAGCTCAGGACTCTGGCCCCGGACTTACCTTCAGATGTCCTGCTACTGGATCGGGCACACAGAACAGCAAGGCCGCGATTCCTACAACTGGAAAGCCCCAGAAACATATTTGTGCGAATGCACTACTACCACGCAAAGGAAATTATCCTGAGGGGCAGCAGAACAAACAGAGACCTGCCAGAAAAGTTCTGTGACATCCAGATATTTGCAAACATCTCCCCAGCAACCCTGAAACACCGGAGGGAATTCCACGACATCACAGCACAGCTCCGCGAACATCGCATTGGCTACCGGTGGGGATTCCCGGTAAAACTGCTGGTGCACCGCGGAGGAAAAAAATCTCACCATCTCCACGCCAGAAGAGGGACTTAACTTGCTGAGAGAGTGGGGGATAACAGTTTCCTCCCCACGTAGACGACCACCGGAGACACAGAGACTATCACCGGAGTGGAGGAAGACCGGGAAGTAACTCACAACTAATGTACACATACTTAAAGGGACACACAAATTAACTTCCTGAGTTCCCCCACTAAGGTACCTTACACCCTAGAGGCCCTTGTGCCAGGGATTACACGCTGTCCACCTCATGCCCCTTTATTTGGTAGCGGTAGCACCAGCAACAGTAAAAAAAAAAAAATGAATGATGAAGAGACAACCAAGAGACTACCATCAACATGTTATCAGTCCCAGAGACTGGAGTACACCTTTCGATATGAGCAACAAACTGTACATGTTAACAATAAACATGAATAATCGCAGGGTAGTTCACCTCCCCCCACCCCCTTCTCCATACTCACCACAACGGTCACATAAGGCAACTCATTATGTTTTAATAATCTGGCCGACGCGGCGGAGCACCCGTCTCCTGTTGAAGCCATAAGCTTCATCCCCCAAGGCACTGCTAGGCAGAGCCATGCAGTCCTACTGGCACTGTTAATGTTTCAGTTACGTTCTTATTGTTTTATTTATGACTATGACATCGATGATAACCGAATGCTACAAAATGTATATTTGCCACAATGTTTTTTACTGTTATTTAGTTTCTTTGGGCTATGTGGATAGCCCCTTAGCAATAGACGACCATAAACAGGTTGATTACACACCACACAATGCTAGTCGTCTACCTGTGATACATGTCATACCGCGAGTGCCACCTATTAAACCCAAGGGGTACCTGTTGCCTAACTGGAATATGCTGTGATGGGTAGCACACCCCATCAAAGATATGCCACACACACACTTACCACACCTCCTAAACTACGACCCTCCATGAGAATTTGCTCTCTTAATGTTAAAGGGCTTAATGCCCCCCACAAACGGCATGCACTTACTAGAGAGCTGAGGTCTCAGGGAGCAGATATAGCATGTTTGCTGGAAACACATTTCCGCACAGGTGACCACTTGACAATACTGAAAACCAGGTATCCGCACCAATTCCATGCTACATCTCCGACAAAATCGAGGGGCACCTTTGTGCTGATTGGCGCAGCCGTATCCTTCTCGCTAGTCACACAAGAAATTGGCAGCCACGGACGGTACATTATAATTGTGGGTCACGTTAATGACGTTTTATACACAATTGTAAACTTATATGCCCCCAACACAAACCAAAATAATTTTTTTACACATGTTATTGCAAAAAGTGTTAGCAATACAGCAGGGAATAACCATCATCTGCGGGGACTTCAACCACGTAATGAACCCTCAGATGGACACCACTCTCTTTCATCACATAGCGCTAGGTATCATACCCTAAAAGACAGAGCAAAGCAATACAAAAACTCTACAAAAACGCTACACCACTACTATGAGACTGACACACACCACAGAAAAATCCTACTCCTTTTCGCCGGTACACAACTCCTACTCTAGGATAGACGGGTTCCTCCTGCAGGGGAATTCCCTAGACTAAATTATTAAGTGTGACATAGGAGACATCACATGGTCCGACCATGCGCCCCTCACCCTGGACCTCAAAGACCTATATGACTTTAAACATCGTAGCCCATGGTCGCAATCGTAGCCCATGGTCGCAATTCAAAACAGAATTAGACACAGCCCTCGAGCACTACTTTGAAGACAACAATACATCAGATATTTCCCACAGCACCCGTTGGGTCGTGCATAAGACTATGATAAGAGGACTGCTCATTAAAAAACAAACACAAACCCAACTGCGACCATGGCAGCAAGAGCTGTGTCACCTAAATGCACAAAACCAACTCACACCCAGCACTGAGCTGAGGGACAAGATCATGTTCCTCACCAGGAAGATCAACCAACACGCACTAGAACGCACAAACTTTTACCTTAAAAAATTGAAAGCCACGAATTACACACAAGGCAACAAGGTGAGCAAGCTCTTGGCCACCAGGGAACAACAGGCCAAACAAAAAATAATGTACCTCCTCAAACCCACTGGGGAAAAATGCATGATGCCTTGGGAAATAAGTAACGAGTTCACCAGGTAACGAGTTCCCACACGCCTCCAAAACTTTAGACCAATTTCGCTCCTAAACATGGACGCAAAGTTGTTAGCCAAAATATATGCTAGGAGGATGAGTGACATCCTTTCTCATATAATACACAATGGCCAAGTGGGATTCGTCACTGGCAGGCAGGGGACAGATAGCACACGCAAGGTCTTCGACCTAATACACAGCTTAAGGCAGGATGGACGGGGCGGTCTGATACTTTTCCTTGACGCTGAAAAGGTCTTTGACCGCTTGCACTGGACCTTCCTGGAGTGGATACTTCATAAATTTGGCTTCCCGAAAGAATTCACATCGGTGGTCAGGGCATTATATAGCGCACCCTCAGCTCAGGTACTAAATGCAGGTTTCGTGTCTGACCCGTTTAACATCTCCAATGGGATGCATCAGGGATGTCCGCTTTCCCCCATACTCTATGTTGTGGCATTGAAACCACTGGTGGCCAGAGTTAGGAATAACTCAGATATACATGGGGTCCACATTGCAAATAAAGAATACAAAGCAAATTTATTCGCAGATGATATCTTATTGACCTTGACTCAACCCCAAACATCTCTACTGAGCCTCCTAGAGGAAGTAGCATCATATGGGAAACAGTCATATTACAAACTTAATGCGACAAAAACTCAAGCATTGGGGGTGGGCCTTACCAGGGAGGCCGTGACGGCATTACAGACCACATACGCATTAGACTGGAGAATAGATAGCGTTACCTTCCTGGGACTCACTATCACCAAAAACGCAGAAGCACTGTTCCATAGTAATTATAGAAAATTAGCAGACAAACTGTTGGCCACTTTAAAATTATGGGAGGGGAAGCTACTCTCCTGGCTGAGCAGACTAGCAGCGATAAAAATGACCCTTCTAACTAAACTCTGATACCTATTACGGACCCTACAAATACCGCTCCCCAAATCCTAACTTGATACTCTACAGAAGATGTTCACCCAATTTATCTGGAGGCACCGCAAAATTAGAGTAGCGTCGTCAACCCTACACAAACGCATAGAGAGGGGAGGACTGGGTATGCCAAACATACACCTCTATTATAAAGCAGCGCTATTCGCTACAGTGATAGCTTCACATGAGACAGAAAACCGACCACAATGGGTGGATATCGAGTCCCACTGGATTGCCAAAACCCCACTGAAATACCTATTCTGGGATCTGTGGGGGGGGCAGCCTCTTCCGCAGC